TTATAACGATCGGCCGATCCTTATGAAGTATGGAGACACCCTATTGAGTATGGAGATGCCCTTACATCAGAACATCCAAGAAACTTAAAGTCAAGGCCTAGTAGTTCTTCTTAAAAGCCTAACAGCTCATGCGTATGCAGAACAAACTTGCTTTAAATTATCTCGCAGCAGTTATAAAATCAAAAATGACATTTGCAATAGAACAAGCAAACACGCGGATATTACAACATGCACACGACCATCACAACAGAATATAGATCATATGTAGGTCTTATGGGACCATATCATAAGAAAAAAGAAACAATTACCATTAGGATGTTGCTGTAATGATGATCCTAATTTATCCAACTCATCGCTTTGCTTCTTCCAACCAATCGATGCAGGTTTAGCATGGAAGATCATGCGCGTGGTTTCGGAAATCAACGACAAAGCCATCCGAAATTAGTATTGAATAGACAATGTAAATCAAAAAAATGTGATTACTATTTGATCAGTGATATCTCTTGAGTTTTCATACATTTCCAACCTATTTTTAATTGTAGTGCACTTACAAACGTTTCGTACTTGGGGTAAGTAGAATTAGGCGACTATGACTACGAATATGACTACTCCTTCATAGGGATTATTGAGGTTCAAAAAACGGAAATGCAAGGTTCATCAACAACCGAGCAAGGATTAAATTTCTTGCAACTTTTATTTTTCAAGATACCAACATTAAACGGAAGAAAGTAAAAGTTGTAGAAGTTAGAGAAAACGAACCGGATAGACCATCTGCTCGAGACCGCTGAAATATGAGTATTTGTCCAGATGAGAGGCTGCATCTTCAGCTATGAATTTTATCGCAGCAAAATTACGGTAAGCAAGAGCGTCAGCAATTACGAAACGAACATGCTGTGCTAGTTCCATTCTTCCAATCTACAAATTTTTATTAATCATTTTTTCGTACAGAAAAGGACTAATTGACATACCAATTTCTTCTCCAAACAATAATTTTCATTGAGAGCAAAATCAATCCTCAGGATGCGATAGCAGCTGCGCT